TGAGGGGTGTTCCTGCCCTCATGGGCTCTGGAGATGAGGGCAGAGGTGAGAGGCCATGGACTGTTAGTATACGATGATAATCACCAGGGTGTTAGCTTAGACACAGAGGTGGAAAGTCAGAGAAAATTTAGCTTCAGGTATGAAAGTTCCAATACCCACACCTGGAAGTTCTAATTAGTCAACTTTGTAATGTTGTTAACCCAGGGGAGGGGTTTCCTAGGGAGTCCAGTTTACGACCTCATTTGAATTAGTTGAGCTGCAAGGACCTTATCTCTAGAACACGTTTTGAAGTATTTGGTGGCTAGGATGTCAACATAGAAATTTTGGGCTGGGGAAGCAAATCCAAAGTGGGTCATTAACATTTTATTTATTGGTTACTATTGTGGGTGCAGAGTGTCATGGCATGAGTGTGGAGGTCAGAGGACAACTTTATGGAGTCTGTTCTCTCCTTCCACCTTTATATAGTCCCTGAGGATAGAATTTTAGATCATCAGCCTTGTGTATGGGCACTTTTATGAGCTGACCCATTTTGCTGACTCCAAATGGGATATTTTGAGACTATTAAGAGCAGCATACAGAGTGATCCTCTGAGAATCTGAGAGACTTGTGTTTAAATCTTTGCCTCCCACCATGACCTGAGGCTCTGAGTCTTACTTCTCATCTCTGCAATCTGAAACCCAAACAGTGAGAGTCTGCCACTGGCTCCAAATGGGCATCTTAGAGCTATGCAGGGATCCATTACTGCTCTCCCACCCTGGGCTTTTGACCTTTGTTTTCTAGGATCACTTTACTGATAAACTGTAAGCTTAATAGAGATTCCAATGTCACAATTCCAATAGTGATTCCTATGTCATTTCCCACTTTTTCAGGATCTCATTAAGGCACTGGAGCTATTTCCTGGCTCAGTCCACCCTGCTTTCAGTTCCACTTTTAGGCATTCTGCCTGGTTTCCTAAACATAGCTCTCAACAACAAAGGGCCTCCTTGGAATGGCTGCAGCCCATGGCTAGCTTCTGGGATGTCTGTCAGGCTGAGGGGGGAGTACGACAGACAGACAGGGCATGGCTACAGCTGCACAGAAGCCTGGAAGCCCTGTGCTGCCCCTGTCATTCCTGATGCCCAGGGCCTCCTGTGTTGGTTTTTTGTCTCAGCCCTGGTACAGGCCAGTGTTGCCCGCTGAAGCTCAGGTAGGGGAAATGGGCTGGTACTGAAGGGAGGCCATGCTGAGATGTACACAGAGATGAGGAGACACTTGTGGCAAGCTGGGTAACCCTGATCCTTCAAGGCCTTAAAACTGAGATGGGAATGTTGATACCAAAAAAGGAAAGCAAACAAACAAACAACCACAAAACAGCTATCACCTGAAAGGGAGTAAAAGTTTATTTAGGAGCCAAATACAAGTGACCATAGCCAGGAACATGGATTCAGATTACCATAAATCCTGTGTTCTAATGTGGTAATGGTTTCACGAAGGTTATATTTTTCTAGTAGCAGAAAAAAAAAAGTCATAAATAAAGGCACTTTAAAATACATTGAGAGGTACAATGGATCAGTGAATTACAGCAAATTGGGGAAATACTGGCTATAAAGGCCTTGGTTGTTATCTGATGACAGTCTTAGCCTGTGGGTTAATAGAGGCTAAGGGTCAGTTAGTACATTACAAAAAGATTTGCCTGAAAACCACAGGGATGGGTCAAAAATATAGTAGTGGGAATGAACAGATAGCTACAGAGCCCAAAATAGCCCAGGACAATTTGGCTCTGTACCTGCAACATTCTGACTCCCCACAGTCACTTAAGGTCTGGTAAGGGAATCTGTTTACCCGGTGTGGCTGCTTTTTTCCTCTCCTGAGAACTGCAGCTCACAGGAATCTTAAGCATGTTGAGGATATGAGAGGGAGCCCATGCTGTTGTGAGGACTCAAGGCCTTGCTCTTCTGGAGCCCTGTGTACTGTTGAGGTGGCTGGCTCTGGACACTCCTTGCAGGACAGGTGCTCAGCTCTTTATGGCCTGCCTCCTGCTGGGCAGCATGCCAAAGCCCAGGGCTCCTCACTCTGACCTTGCTTGGCCTTCAGCCTCTGTTTTGAGTGGCAGTCTGCCTTCAGGTCTAGAATCTAAGAGATAGGAGGCCACTGAGTCTGCAGCCCTTGGAAATCAAAGCCCCACACCAAGAAAGAGTTAATGGCTGTAGACAGGAAGCAGCAGAGCTTCCAGCCTCTTACCTTGCTCAGCCCCTCTGGTGGCCTGGACACAGCTGGGTACTTAGCACCCTGTAGAGTGGGCTCAGAAGTAGCACAGGGAAGAGAAATTGCATTTCTCAGCCATGTCTGCCCTCCCTTTTCTGTTCCACTCAGGTTAGAGGACCTGGCCTCTTTCTTACTTGCAACCTGCACCTGCTGCTGAGGGAATCTCTGGGTTGGCCTTTCTTCTTTTCCTTTGTACCCTCCCATGGTTGAATTTTGAATTTATTAAAGGCAGTCATCTCTGTCCCCAGTGCCTGCTGCTGCTTCCTTCTTCCCAAATGTCACCCCTCCTACTCTGTTCTCTTGCTGTTAGGTTTTAGAAGAAACAGCAGCATCCTGCCGAGTGTGTATGGGAGGGTGTGGTTTGGTGCCAGGAGGGCACGTTGTGTTTTACAGCCAGCCTCAGCACTCCTGGATCCATACCCATAACCAACCTGTTTTAAATAGCATTTGTAGGGACTGGAGAGATGGCTTAGGGGTTAAGAGCACTGACTGTTCTTTCAGAGGTTCTGAGTTCAATTCCCAGCAATCACATGGTGGTTCACAACCATCTGTAATATGATCTGGTGCCCTCTTCTGGCACGCACTGTATACATGATAAATAAATAAATCTTTAAAAAAGTAGCACCTTCCCTTTTGTCGTTGTTCCCTAGACAATACAGCATAGCCATGATTCCCAGAATATACTTGTTGCATTGGGTATTAAATCCAGAGATGAAGAAGCATGTAGTAGTATATGCGTGGGTTAGAGGTTAGATGCAAATTCTATGTCCTTCTATATAAGGAACTTGAGCATCTGTGGATTCTATACTTGTGTGGAGGCAGGGAACATGCTGGATGCAATCCCCTAGGAATACAGGGTCAACTCATATCCCCATGGACCTCTCTTGCCACTGTGGGGTCTTGGGTCCAGCAGACACAGCCTCAGCACCTTGACTTGAAAAAGTCTGTTTTCTTCCTGGTATAAGCCAGAGTGGTGGCCCTGCTGACATTTCTAGTCTGCTGAGCTGAGCAAGTCAAGGGAACAAAAGTGTGCACTCACTGCACTGGGCGAGACCTGGACTGTGCTGTCAGCTCCCTACAGAGCCTACTGGTGGGTGAGGGGAAGGGACCTGCAGCTTCTGAGCTAGATGAACAGGACTCCTGGGCCATGCTCAGGGAGAGTGACATTAGGTCATTTTTAGGGTGTCAAGTGGTGGGATCTCCTTTGGTGTTTTGTTGAGAAATCACAGTAGATGATTTTCTGGTGTGAGCCCCTGGTGAGCCCAGAGCTTGCTTGGTGTATGAGAGTGACATGTCTGTGTCAAACATAGGCATTCTGACTCAGGCTCCTCCTCTGACACCCTTCAGAAAGGGCTGTGGGATTATGTTGTAGGTGACTCTGTCTTTCTGGCTTGGGAGCCTTGCTTGGTGAGCAGAGCACAGTTCAAGCTCCCCCTGGTGGGGCCTTAGCTTAGTGCTGGGCCTGCAGCTGCCCTGACCCAAACATCCATCTCCTCAGACTTGCAGGGTTAGCCAGGAGACATTCAGACCTGAGGCAAGGACACCAGCTATTTCTCAGTAATAGCATTCGGTAATAGTATGAGAGTTGTCTGCTGAGACCCAGCTTGTACATGTTCAGGGTCACAGGCTCCCAGATACCCCAGGTACCCACTGGTGCAGTTGCCTCAACTCACAGAGTGGAGCTGAGCACCATCTCAGGCACTGAGGTCCAAGCCTGACCCACCATGCTTTGACATGTAGGGCTCCATACTGGGCCTCAGGATGGAGGATGCCCTAAGATGGGGATGAGTTAGGCCCCAATCTTCACAGAGATGTTTCTAAAATGTTTGCCAGGGCTCTAGGACACCAGGTCTCCTCATCTCTGATTACTGTATTTGGGGCCCTCTACTCAAGGGCTATGGTGGAATATAATCCATCTACCGTGTTTTCGTCATATCTCTTCCATGATGCTATGTCCTTTCTGTGCCACCATTTCCCAGCATAGAAGAAGTAACCTCCAGCTGCCACTTGTTAGGAAGGTCTGTCTTAGGGAAGTGGGTGATGAATGATATCCTTGTGTGTTTTTCTTTCTCTCCTGCCCCCTTTCCTATGGCTGAGATTGAGAGTGGGTCTGACTCTTAGATGGACAGATGTTCTTAGCTAAGCAGAGCTGGCAGCCATAAGAAGGCCCCGGGCTGGAAGGGTGGGGTTCCAGCATCCAACTCCCACTTTAAAGCTCATCTTGCCTCTTGACTGCTCCTTAGAAGCCAGGAGCCTGTGGAGGGCCCTCTGTGGGCAGGTCTGTGGGCAGGAGGGCCCTCCAGGGCCAGTGCCAAGGGAGGTGGTCTCCGGTATCTTCCTAGGCAGCCCTGGCTGTGTTGGGTCTGGCCTCCAGCCCTTCCTGAGCAGTCACATGGGGCCTGGAACTCATTAGCACCTTTTATTAAAACCATATGCTCTATGTATGAGTAACTTTGAGTCCACATGCTCCCTGACCTGGGTGTGGGGGATACTGAACACAGATGGTGATTGTGTGATGGATGTGGGCGGCCCAAGGCTCCTAGGGTCTTGAAAAGTTAGACCCCATGTGAACTGCAGGTGAGGGGTAGGTGACAAGCACAAGCCCAGCCAGGCTCTGGTATGCCTGGATCCAGCAGACACTTCTGGGCCAGTGCTTCATCCAAAACAGGGATGAATCTAGATTCTGCCTTTCCAGGGCACTGCAGATCTACATCTCTGCATTTTACTGATAAAATTTGTCCTTTTCACCCTCCCAGGAATGTATCATTGATGAGGACTGTGGGCCCACCAGGTACTGCCAGTTCTCCAGCTTCACATACACCTGCCAGCCGTGCCGGGACCAGCAGATGGTAAAGATACTAGTTGTCTACATTGCCATGCCATGGGGAGATTAGAATTCCCAGGGGTTCTCAGTTTGGCTGCTTACAGGAGCCTTTCAGTAATGGGGAGGAATCCCAGAGGGGCTGATTGATTCCTGGAGTAACCAGGATGTCATTCCAGCAGACCTGCAGCCACTCCACCCCCGTAATCTCTGGAGACATTGTGTGGATCATGGGTAGCCAAGAATGGGAAGGAAGGAGAGAATGGGAGGCCCTGTACTGGTCCCTTCTTCTGGGACAGTGAACAGCAGCCGACACAGTAGTGCACACATGCTGTTCCCAGACAAGGGAAAGGGCCACCTCTTCCCTCCTCGGCTGCCCCCCAGGTCCCTGAGCTTCCAGTCTGCTTAATACATGTGCAGAGGGAGGATCCAGGGGGAGGCTGGAGGACTCTCTCCCAGTGTGGGTTGTGAGAGAAACATGAGCCCAAGCAAAGGAAACCCTCTGCTCTACCCTGAAGGCCTTTTGGACAAAGCCATGGGCTCATGAACTCTTGTCATTTGCCTTATTTTGACAGAAAAAAAAAACAAAAAACAAAAAACAAAAACCAAAAACAAAACAAAACACACAGTAAGTTTGGAAAATAAAGGGTCCCTGTGACCTTGCTCAGCTCCATCATGGCCAGGCACCTGCTGTTTTCCTTCCAGGCCACACCATATCATGGCACAGTCCCGGGGACCCCTTGTAGCTTTTTAATTGTCATTCCCTGTGTGTCTCTGGGTCCCCGCTCCCAGCATGCTGTCTCCAGACTAGGTCTTCCTAGCTCTGACTTGATTTAGCTGTTTATTAGATTGCTGCTGCCTCCACCTGTGGCCTGAGCAGCCTTCCCTTCTACTGTGTCTAGTTAAAAGGGTAGAAGATAAACTGGGCTGTGGTGGTGATACATGCTTTTTAATCCCAGCATTCGGGAGGCAAAGACAGGTGGATCTCTGTGAGTTCAAGGCCATCCTGGTCTACTAGTTCCAGGACAGCCAAGGCTACACAAGGAAATCCTGTTTCAAACAACAACAAAACAGCAAACAGACAAACCAAAGGGTGAAAGATAGAGCCATAGGATGGAGGCACCAAAGATACACAGGTTCTCTTTGTAAAGTCTTTGACCTGGGTAGAAAACACTTAGACATCCACCTTGTAGGGTGCCATTTCCCTGTGTTTTGACCCTTCTTGTGCCCATAGCCACACTTCCAAACTTCCTCCTTCAATTTCTATCAATGTAAGCCATCTTTGATTGGGCCGAGCAGGCTGGAGCACTGTGCCATGCTGCCCAGACTTCTGGGCTAATGAGCCCCTGAGCTTTGCATTTTTCTCTTTCCTACAGCTATGCACTCGAGACAGTGAGTGTTGTGGAGACCAGCTGTGTGTCTGGGGTCACTGCACCAAAAAAGCCTCCAAAGGTAGCAACGGGACCATCTGTGACAACCAGAGGGATTGCCAGCCTGGCCTATGCTGTGCCTTCCAAAGAGGTGTGTGGATTCCCTGGTAGCTGCTAGGGAAATCAGTCCCAATCTCTCAGGAGGGTCTGCTAGGCCCCAGAATACTACCCACACCTTTTCAGGGTCCTGCCTCCCAGCAGCGTCTTCAATGCTTTCACTGTTTGTTCCAGCCCACAGCCTTTTCCTAGAGCAGGGAGTTAAGAGCCTGGGAAAAGGGGGGCTGCTTTTTTTTGTTTGTTTTGTTTTGTTTTGTTTTTGTTTTTGTTTTTCAGTTGTTGACTATGCAAGTTAAGTTCTTTTAGAATACATGAGTCCAGGACTGGAAGAACATCCCTAGATGGGTGTGATTTCAGAAGCCCCTCCCCCATCCCACGAAGGCACCATTGGCCTGGGTTCTTTGTGTTGATTCTCTTTTCAGTTCCCAGCACCTCTCCTGTGTACTTGTGCAGGCTCTCTCCTTTGCCAGGAGTGTGTCTGAAAGCTCTCAGCTGCCTCCCCAGCCCCCCTTTTCCCATTCTCACACTGTTCCTTCCTGTACCTGCCACCTCAATGATTTGCTCGGAGGACAACATTCTAGATGTTGCTCCTCTAGGGACCCCCCTTAGCTTCTGTTATCTCCCATCCTCAAGGCCTTGTCCACCCAGATCCTCTGTCCTCTTTATCTCCACTCCTTGGCCCAGCTCTTCCCACTGAGCTGACCCAGGCCCCTACTGGCACTCTGCTCCTGCTTGAGGGCCTTGGTTTCACCTTCATTTCCCCAGGCGCTTTACCCCCCAAATCCAACTCCTCTCTTCAGGCAGACCCCTGTAACTGCTCCAGTCCTCAGCGGTTGGTTCATCCCAAATGTGCACTGCCATTCTCATTCTTTCCACTCTTCAATTCTAACCTCACCTGAGGTTGAGGGAGGAGAGCAAGCCTGCAGTGTCTGTTTCCCTGCTTGTCCTCATGGTGACTCTTGGCTGGCTCCAGGCCTGCTGTTTCCCGTGTGCACATTCCTGCCGGTGGAGGGAGAGCTATGCCATGACCCTGCCAGCCAGCTGCTGGAACTCATCACCTGGGAACTGGAGCCTGAAGGTGCTTTGGACCGATGTCCCTGTGCCAGTGGACTCCTCTGCCAGCCTCACAGGTGAGGTCCTTTTTGTGACTGTCCTGGGGGCTGAAAGCAGGCAAAATGTCATCCAGAGGGACTCAAAAGCAGGTTTGGGTAGGAGGAGATGTTGATTCAGTTGTAGGGCAGGTGTGACTGGAGGTATCCCAGGTCACTAAGATGGAGGGGTCCAGTCAGCATCAGATTTGTAGACTGGGACTCAGATAGTGATTGAAGCTTCCCAATTAGGTGCCCTAGGGGGAGGGTATGGAGGGAATGAGCCCAGACCACTCCATCATAGTGGGAGAGGATGCTGACAGGCAAGAGGGGTGGACCACTAATGTGGAAGGCAGCTGTAGTATTATTAGAGGCTCATGAAACTGAAGCTCCAGGTCTGACAGGGTTCTACTCAGCCTTATTTTCTACCAGAATCCAGGGACATAGGGAAGGCAGACAGAATTCCCCTCCCCACTCCCACAGAAGCCCAAGGTCACCATGTGTGCAGCAGATGTGGGGTTTACATTGTGCCTTCTACTTGGAACCCAAATGGGTAGAGGGCTGAGGGGACTCCATGTGGCAGTGTATTTCCAAGTCCCCATCATCAGGGCCTGCTCCTAGGCAGAGAAGCCAATAGTTAGTCACAGAAGAGCAGGCCTGTGACTGCCCCTTGAGGACATTCTCCCAGCTGGCTCCTCAGTAAGATGTTAACAGAAAGCACCCTGACAGGAAGTAGTGAATTAGTGAGGCCTGAAGGCCCACAGAGAGTATAGCCCACAGCTTCAAATGTAGCTGACATGCTCCAAGCCTGGCTTCGCTCTCCAGGGTAATAGAGAGAACCTTGACCAAACCTTGACCAAACCTCAACCCTCTTCCCCAGCCACAGCTTGGCGTACGTGTGCAAACAAGCCTTCGTCGGTAGCCATGACCAAAATGAGGAGAGTCTGCTGCCCAGGGAGACCCCTGATGAGTATGAAGATGGTGGCTTCATAGGGGAGGTTCGCCAGGAGCTGGAGGACCTGGAACAGAGCCTGGCCCAGGATATGGCATTTGGGGATTCTATCCCTGAGGAGTCATTGGGTGGGGGAGAGATTTAGACCCATACTCAACTGAGCTGCTGGTAGATGTGCAATAGAAATGGCTAATTTATTTCCCCAGGAGTGTCCTGTAGGTGTGGGGCTGGCCAGGCATTCTCCATAGCTTCTTCCCAGTAGCTTTTCCTCTGGCTTGACAAGGTGCAGTGCAGTATATTTGTTTCAGCTGCCCTGCTGCTCTGGTGCTGGGAAAGACAGACATGGTAGTTGCGGGCAGCCATGAGCCACCCCACACCATTGCCAGACATTCTGTTTTGTTCTTCACGGAATGGAGATTTGCTTGAAGGGAGAAGATGGGAAGAGGTGAAGTCTGACCATGATGGTTTTGGGAAACACATGGAGGAGGCTGCCTGCCTTGCAAACATGGACCTGGCAAAATGTAGCCATTGCCTGTGTCCAGTGGCCCTTCCATGGGCTGAGGCAGAGGCTGCGCACAGGAGCTATGCTGCTCTTTTGGCCTCCCACACATTCATCCTTACATCCTTTCTTTCAGTTCCTCCTACCTCACTGTCAGCATAGCCCTTCATACCCTTACTGCACCCACCACAGCCTGGGAGCAGACCAGAGGAGGTTTCTCTCTAAGTCCCATGTTCTCTCACTTACCCCAGCACCAGCCTCGGTGCCACCAACAGTTCTTCCAAAAGGAGGGGAGTGAAATCCTTTTTTTTTTTTTTTTTTTTTTTTTTTTTTTTTTTTTTTTACTGGTTTGAGGCATGCCTGGAACTAAGGTCAGACAAATCTGCATGTCCCTCTGAGGTTAGAAGTAGCAGTGTGGAGGCCAGTGGTGTGGACATGTGGACATTGCTCTCTGCCATTTGCTTCAGTAACTCTGAAAGTCAGAAATTGGAGGGCCATTTGTGTAAATTAATTCACAGGAAGGACACTTGGGTAATTGTAGGGCCAGGTTATTATGAAGTTTGCAAGGTCGCTTAGCAACAACGGAAGGGCTTTCTCAATAGCACAGAGAAATCAGAACCAAACCAGGCTGTGTGAAGTATGGCTGTGATGTCCAGAAAGAAGGCTGGGCTGGGTGTCAGGCCTCAGATGATGGTTTCAGGTGCCAGGAACTGTTTCCATCCTGTCTTCACCCTAGGTTATTAAATTTTAAAGTTGCACACAGTTGAGTAAGCATGCTTTCTTCTGAGTTTTAAATTATGTATAAACACGTGTGTTGCACTCAAAGATAAATCACTTTGGATACTATTTAATAATTCTTGGACTTTTTTCTCTTTGACTTTCAATAAATGTAAACCACCTTCATCCAGAACAATAAAATAAAACAATCTGTAGTATAAAGAGACAAAAAAATATTTCCATAGAAACAGATTTTCCAGGCATCTGCAGTTCACCTCTTTTAGAATATGTTGGAACTCTTATTCATATCTGGATGGGAATTAGTTTTAAGAGAGAAAATACTTTCCTGCCTCCTGAAGGAACAAATGGAATATTTGAGTCTTCTCTTGGAGGCTCTCTGTAATCAAAAGTTCTGGCCTCTTGTTAGCATTGTTACTCTAACAAAATATCTGAGGTAATTTATTTATATATTTAAAAATGTTTATTTTGGTTCATCATTTCAAGTTTCAGTCATGATCCTGTTGTTCTGAAACTGGAGTCAGCACAACATGGAGAAGGCATGTGGCAGCATCAAGCTGTTCCCTTCCTGGCTAAAAGGGGGAGAGAGAGGAACATAGTCTTGTTAAGGATACAACCCTTCCCCCAGGACCTGGAGCCCTCTCACAAGGCCCTATCTGTTAAGGGTAGAAGGCTCTGTCACATTGGTTTTAGTTAGTCTTCTTGGTGCTGTGACCAAATGTCTGACAAGAAGCAACCTGAGGGATGAGGGTTCATTTTGCAGCAGGGAAGGCACAGGGGGAGAGAGTGGGGCTGCTTCTCACAGTTCTGAGGACCAGAAAGCAGAGGAAGGGCAATGCCAGGGCTTGGCTTTCTCCCTTCCCTTTTATTTATTCTGGGACCCCAGGCCATGGGATGGTGCCACCCACAATAAGGGCAAGTTTTTCTTCCTCTGTTGGAACTCTTTGGGAACTCCTTGTCTCATAGACATATGCAGAGGTGTGTCTCCTAAAAGACTCAAAATCCGTTTGGTTCCAAGACAAGGAATTGCTATGTAATAACTCTTCCACATAGCACCTTGTACCACTTAAAAGCCTTTGAAACTTTAATCTGAACATATCACAGTAAAGAAACTCAAACATTGGGCTGGAGAGATGGCTCAGAGGTTAGCACCGACTACTCTTCCAGGGGTCCTGAGTTCAATTCCCAGCAACTACATGGTGGCTCATAACCATCTACAATTCAATCTGGTGCCCTCTTCTGGCACGTAGGCAGAACACTGTATATGTGATAAATAAATAAATCTTTAAAAAATGTGAACATTTAGAAAAACAATAAATATAAGTACTTGATGAAGTCACCTATGTCTGTGGTATGGGCCCATTTGTAACTAAAACCTGTGCTGGTTAGGATTTGCTGTATTTTATCTGATATGCTGAAATCCTATGTTTTTAGCTACAAACTAAGATTCAGAATAAATGAACAACAGGTTTTTAAATACTTAGGCTGACAAAGACTCTTGTAGCCTCCTAATAGTGCCATGGGGAACAAGCCTTTAACAAATAAGTCCTTGGGCAGGTGGATACTTTACCTGGTCCATAACAGGACTACATTAATGAGGTCACTCCATATTTTGGTCAACAGGGCAGCAGGCAATGACTCTGAATTCCATGACTTATTAACAGATGAAGAAATGGGGCTTCAAAAAGATGGATAGAGAAACTAATCATATGAAATGGCATCTAGGGTACACTGATTACCATCAAACACAGAGGTGTTCTTTATTCAGTGTCAAAACTTACCAGGGCCATTTTGCTCATGGATTACCTGGCAGCTACAAGTGGAGGGCTTGCTCAGTGCCAGGGGTTGGGATGTGCCCTGGGGGTTCCCAGATGAAAGTCCCTACTCTGAAATCTTCACAGTAGAGGGCAGGACACAGCTAGACCAAGAGGTGACAAAAACAGTAAACCCTGTAAGGAGAGTTAGAGCAACCCTCACAGAGTGCTTAGCTTGGAGGACTGCCATGGAAATGGATTACTGGGAAGGTAGCAGGGGGACTTGGGGGCAAAGGGGAATGGATGGGATTCTCAATGGATAGTGTGACTGGAAGACAAGACAAGTGTGAGGAAATGCTTAAAGATGAGGCTGAAAATTGTTCATCAAAAACAAATGAAAAAACCTGTTAGTTACCCACCATGTATCAGCCCATCTCAGTCGTGAATGAGGAAAAAACTAGGGTCCCCTTCCCAGAGCTAACCACCCTGTGAGAGGCTCCAATGCTTAGCTGAGACCACACCTCACCACTGTTAATGGACCATGGGAAGAGCTGAGCTGAATGCAGCTCTTAACTCTCTGCCTACTCTTTTCTTGGATTCGGTTCCTGCCAGGGAAGCAGTGGCAGGAGCTGAAGGTCTGGTTCCTCAACAGTGACCCCAGCAAAGGACCAAGCAGCCAAGACCTGGAACATAAAGCGCCCTCTCCCTCCAGGACAGGTGCTCCCGATGAGGTGTTTGGCTTCCAGGCCCTCTGGGGAAGCTGGGAGATGCCAGGTTGATTTCCCCCTCCCCAGCCTTCAGCTAGCACTCACTTCTTAGCTTGTTAATCTGGCAATCCTTGACTGATGGCCCCTGTATGACTTTTATTATTTCTGTGGCTGACAATACCTGACAAGAACAACTTGAGAAAAAGCTTAGAATTTGAAGGAATCGCCCACAATGGTTGCAGGAGTGAGATGACAGGCCATGCGACTTTCCTATCAGGAATCAGCGTGCATGGGAGTGGAGCAAACCTCAAGGCCCACCTCCAGTGACCCACTTCCACCAGCAAGACTCCACCTCCCTGAGGTTCCACAACCTTCAGAGACAGTGTTCAAAGACAAGTAAGTGGTGATGTGAGTGGGTATTGGAATGAGAAATGTCTCCTATAGTCTTAGACATTTGAACACTTGGTCCCCCATTGGTGACGCTGTTTGTGGAGATTTAGGCAATACAGGCTTGTTGGAGGAAGTGTGTTCCTGGGAGCAGGCTTTCTTGTATCTCCAACTGGCTCTAAGCATGCTACCCAAGCAGTGTGAGCTGGAAAACAGTGTGCTCACAGTATGGGGAAGCTGGGGTACTCAAAAGCATAAAGGGGTATTATCTTCCAGTAATTTGGGAGGGGGTACCAGTGAATTCCCAGTTCTAATCATGATCAATTCTCTGGGATGGTTAGTAGCAGGTGGTGGCAGGGGTGACATACCTCTCTCAATGCCTTTGCCTTCCTCCCTTAACCCCACTGACAGCTGCACTTTCTAAATGATCACAGGCATCAATGAAGTTTTTAGTTAACCCAATGTTTTTGGTAGCTTCCAAAAGCTAACTTACAACAAAACACAGGTCTAGAAATGATGGCTTCCCCCATGTTGGCTGCCCTGAAGGAGCATCTTTAAATTTCACATATACTCGGCTGAGGTGCTAATAGCTTCTTTTAAGCCAAGAACTCCTTTGCAAACTGGATACAAGCAACCTTCTAGCTGCCTAGAAAACTCCATGCCTAACATTTTGCACTTGATTCCAGGATTCGTGGCATTTTTATAAGACTATTAGTGACCAAAGTATAGTTTTGTTTTCCAAAAATTGTATAGAACTGTTTGGATGGAATAATGATCCATACTACTGAACACTAGTCTATTAACTTGCAAGTCCCAGGTTCGAGAATTATGAGGTCTTTGATGCTGAGCAGAGATGAGCCCAGAGGAAGATTAGCAATTCAATGGCAAAATCCTAGAACCCAGCAAAGGATCTTCCTGCATTCCAGTGTCACAGGTCATGTACAGATTTACTACTCACTACACTGCTATGATGTTGGACTCTCAAGTAGCTCAGAGACCGTTAGGTTGCCTTCAGCTTCTGACTATGGGTGTGCCACTATACCCTCACAGCATGGCTGGCAAACAGTGGATCTCCTATTTTCTAGCTGGGGCCTGGGACCATCCATCTTCCTAATTGTAGCATACTTTCCAAGATATTAACATTCGAGTGTAGGAGCCTTCTCTTCATCACAATTACTGTTCCTTACATATATTCCTCCTGTAGGCCTGTTAAATGGGGCGTCGCCATGAAACCAGAGCTGTGGGTTTCTTAACTAGAATGTTCTTTACCTTAGCCAGGGTCTCAGAAGTACGACCATATAGTTCTGATGTACTTGGCTGACACAATTCCTGTGCCCTAATAAAAGCCCTTCAAAACTTGTGACTCCTAGAGAATAGTCACAATTCAATTCATGTGGCCTGTTTCAGGCTCAGAGACAAGCTTCAGGATCTACCAATTCTCTGAAGCCCAGAGGGGCTGCGTCCCACTTCAGCGACTTCGCTGTGAAAAGTTCCCTGCTCCTGCTCCTTGCTTTCATTCACTCCCATGCACTTTGAAACGAGATCTTAAGCTTTTATATGAAGCATTTCCTCTATTTTTGGTATGTGCAATATGCCTGCAATGACTCATACACAGCAGCAACAGACACAGAGCAGAAGGCACACACCAAGGGGCAGACAAATGGGGAGAATTGTGCCAGCCACTAAGGACACTATGCCAAACTAGAGGAATGGCAAGCAAGCCCACTCTATCGACTTCTTCTATTTGTTAGAAAGCCAGTCTTGGGGAGGAGATTGACACCCAAGTCCCGAGTAACCAGTCCTGGACCAGACCCAAGAGACTTTTAAGATATTATGGAATATCTTAATTATACTGAAACTAGTCAACACTTGCTAATATTGTCATTAAGTATTTCTTAGGAAGAAAAAGAGTAAAAATCTGATTCTGAAATAGCCAGGATTTCCTGAATAACTTTACTATAAATACACTTCATCAGAGAATGAGATACTCAGTCATACAGGTAACAAAGTGCCACATTTAAAGACAACAAATTCATTCTGTACTCAGATTCATGCCCCCAGAAGTTTAATGACCAAAATTACACAGCAACATGAACAAATGTTTTATTGGCATGTTCATTGTTGTAAACAGCATCTTGCATGAAAAAGTTTTACCAAAACCTTTTTATTGACTTTTATAAATTAGATAGTATTTCAAAGTTTATGTAGAATTGTGTTCTCTGAAGTTGTATTTAGCAGAGCAGACGCCTGCTGACTCTAGCACGCTCTGCAATGAATCATGTGGCACCAAGTCTACACCAAGGCCCCCGAGAAACTTTATTCCATATTATGGGCAGATGGTTCCCCAAA